GGGTGTTGGGTTTAGGGTTTGGGCTTAAGTGCAGTCAGGGGCTTCGGGTTAAGGAGTAAGGTTTGGTCAAGTATTTGTGTCATGCTGATCGGACTTCTTATGTTTATCAGTGGATCGTTACTTAGTGTTGACTCATGTGCGAACCCATTCGACTATCTTATGCTGGTGCTGTGCTATATACTGCTGCAAAGGTAATTGCAGCGCGGTTGTCTGTAGTTGTATATGTATGCATGTATGTGTTTTGTATTTATGTAGATTCGTGTGTGTCTGTATGCATGTATGCACGTACGTACATACACGTGTACCAATGTATGAGTTAAGGTGTGCAGGTGTACGTGTGCTTGTGTGGGTTGTTGCAGGTGTATGTGTATTTGTACATGTATGTGTATGCCTGTGAGCATGCATGGATGCTTGTATATACGTATGGATGGAAGAGTGCATGTACGTACGGATACCCGTGCATGTGCATGCATGCAATGCATGCATGGATGGATACATGTGTGCATACATGCATGTGGGTGTGTATATGTCTGTTGGTAGTTAGGTCGGTCGGTAGGTAGGTAGGTATGGGGTGGGTGGTAGGCAAAAGGCCGATTGGCAGATAGGCAGGTGGTGGGTATGGGGTGGGCGGGTAGGTGCGTTCAGGGTCGGGGTGAGGGTGGAGTGAGGGTGGGTGGATGTGTGGGAGTGTGTGTGTGTGTGTGTGTCTATATATATATATATGTATGTGTGTGTGTGTGTGTGCGAGTGTGTGTGTGTGTGTGCTTGTGTGTTTGCGTATGTGTGTGTGGGGTGGGAGCGCATACATGCATGCATGCATACATAGATACATACACGTATGCATGTTTGCATGTATTCATGCATGGATGTATGTACTTGGGTAGTTCGACAGAGTTGCACATGTGTGTGTGTGTGTCCTAGATGCACCCGACCTCGGTTATTTGAACAAGATGGGATGGCTTCCAGAGCCAAGGTGGTCACAAGAGGGTGGCGAAGGCTCCGATGTTATGTGTGTTCGATAAGCAACAGCAATATCGTTCGTATGTTCCCCGGGCCGGCCTGATTCCTCTGGGTGTGGGTTCAGGATTTAGGGTTCAGGGTTTAGGGTTCATTCCGGGATGCCAATAGGGCTACGGCTTAAGAACGGCCGCTTATCCTCTCTGCACTTGTAGACTGTCATTTGGGTAGTTCTCTAAATTAGGGGTACCTTATCTTGGGGTCCTTATAATAAGGATCCTACTATTTAGGGTGCTATATTAGGGTCCCCAATTTTTTGAAATCCCCATTTTGAGCTCAGGCATGCACCTGACAACCAAGCCCCTAAACCCTGATTGAGCAGAAGCTGAGCCGGACTAGCAACAGACAACAGACTCCGTTGAGAAGGGGGGCTTGCCGTTGCCAGTATGTCGTGGTTACTTTTGCATATATATATATACACATACATACATATACATATACATACATACACATATATATATATATATATACATATGTGTTTATTTCTGTTCACCTGTGGGGCTTGGGTTGATGATTGAAACCTCGGCTCCCGCCGGCAAAAGGATCTTATGCAAGTCTTTTCTCCCGCTGCACGCCTTACATTCCTACATCCGTAGCATCCTGGCAACCTGACTTCTTCCCGAACACAAACGGGTATGGGTATGTGTCTGGGGTTGTCAAACTCAGGGGCCAAGGGTGGTCGAACTCTCCAGCGCAAGGGAGGTTCTTGTTTCGGTGTGTTCGGCCCAGGGTTTGCAAACCTCAGTGCCCAAGTACTCTCATTTTGCAAGAGCTTTCTAGTTCTCGCCCTCTGGACCCAAGTACATGGAGCATTTTCAAGAATCAGGGCCCCTAATGTAGACCCTGCGTTGCATGGACACTTTGAGAAAGAAGCATCTTTAGGAAAGCGCGATGCCTTAACTAGTTTCCACTCTATGAGCTACGGTCAACGAATGCTCGCAATCTGCAATGCTTGCTTGAGACATCCCTTCGGATGGCAAGCCCGCTCTTTATCGCAACTCTACTGTGCCCTCCGATAGCAAGAACCAACTCCTGAAATCCCAACCTTGGTTATAGCCCGATAAATCCCCGTAAACAAAGCCCAACTCCCTAAAACATAAACCCTAACTGCTGAATCCCTCATACACCCCAAACCCTGAACCCAGAATCCCTCAGCCCTACCTTAAACCCCAAGCTGGGGGCAGGATTAAAGATGCCCGGCTGGCGAAGCCGGGGTCACCAGAAGCATGAGGTGAGCCGCCTAGAAGTCGAGGGTTACTTAAGGGTATTAGGGTCCCTTTTTTGGATCCCCCAAATAGTACTGCACCCTTATCAAAGGGAGCCTAATTAAAACCCCTAAGATTTACTGCAAGGGTTCCTATAAGGGTTACTCTAAAGGTTTAGGGTTCAGGGTTTAGGGGTTCAGAGTTCAGGGTTTTCAAGTGTTGCGATTTAGTATCGTACAGGATTCAGGTTTTGAGGGTTCAGACACTGAGGGCATCTGTTGTTCAGGGTTTAAGGTTTAGGAGTTAGGGTGCAGGGTTTTCACGCTTTTTTTGGTTTTGGAGATATCGGGCTCAATTAGGAATTAGGGCTCCGTTTGGTGAGGGTCTATGTCTTTGTGCGGTTGATGTTTCAGAAATCAGTGTTTCTGCGTCTTTCTCACAGCTTAAGGCTTGCAGGGACCCGCTAGCGGACCCAGCGTTCACAGAGCCACGAGTGTTATAGGATCATTAAAGGAGACTGGTTCAAGGGGGGAGATCACTAGGAATCCTTGCGAAACTTGGGCCCCCTCCCTTAAGGACACCATGCCAAGAGGGTTCATTACATGTTTGAATTATGGGAGTAGGTTCCTAAAAGCATAGTAAGGATGGTCTTGTGGCATTATACATATGGACCCTCTGGGACCCTCTTTTCCCCTCCCGTCCCTCTAGGACAACCCCTAAACCCTAAACCCTACACCTCAATTCCGAAACCCTATACACTTGCCCTGAACCCTAAACCCTTAACTTGCCCTAAACCCAAAGAAATGAGTTTGTTGCTAGGGCGCCATGCGTAGCTTTTGTTAAAGCGGCTTATGGTTTAGGGCTTCATGTTTAAAGGTTTAAGGTTTAGGGTTTCAGGTTCAGGGTTTAGTGGGTTTAAGGCCGCTTAAGGTTTAGGGCATAAGGTTCAAGTTTTAGGTTTACGGTTTAGGGTTTAGGAGTCTATGGTTTAGGGTGTAGGTATCACGGCCGTGTTGGAGTGTTAGACTGGCCCTACCATCCTTGTAAGTCAAGGTCGGCTTTCCAAGGATGTAGGTGTTTGCTGCGTCGGCTTTCTTCCCAAACCGTAGCCCTAACTCCTAAGCCCTAAACCCTAAAAGCCTCAAGTATCCTTACAAACACCTAAACCCTGAACCCTAAGCCCTAAACCCTACAAGCCGCAAGTATCCTAAAAGGACACCGCGGCCCAACGGCAGTTTCAGAGGTCCCAGGGTACCGCAACCCTGACCTTCGGATCGCGAAAAGCTGAGATCCTGATTGCTCTATTGGGCGAAGGGGCTTCAGGGGTTTAGGGTTGATGTAGGGGTTTGGGGTTTAGGGGTTTAGGGGTTTAGGGGTTTAGGGGTTTAGGGGTTTAGGGGTTTAGGGTTTAGGGTTTAGGGTTTAGGGTTTAGGGGTTTAGGGGTTTTGGTGCCATGGCAGCCATACCAGGATTTTCTTTGTCTGGTGGCTGCTTGCGGTGGTGCCCGGATGCTTCTCATGAATGCTGCAGCATGTGAGTTGGTCAGGTTCTGTCAGCTCCTTGGACATGCGGAGATCGAGTTGATGCCTTGTGGGACCGGCACCGCAGCAAAGTCAGAGGCGATTGAGTACGCTTCTTCAGCTGGTAAGCCGGGATGGACCGTGTCAGTTTTCCAACCTGCAACATCCCAAAACCCTAAACCCTAAACCCTAAACCGAACAGAAATGCAAGCTGGACCAATTAATCAAGTTCTAGACCCCTTATGAGCCTCTGAGCAACCCTTCAGCCCCATTTCTTCCTGACTTACTACGAGTCTCCGGGCAATCAGCGGAAACGTTATAGACCTCTAAGAGCCGTAATTCTGGGACCTGAATTCGCACCCTACAAACCCTAAACCCCTAAACCCCAAACCCTGAATTCGCAAAGAGGTCTTGGTTGGGCGGCCGTATCTTCTTCAGGACAGTCTCTGCCCGTGCTATGTTGTGGTGTTCAGGACGATGCTACGAGGCATGTCTAAAGCCGAAACCGGAAACCCTGCACTTTAAACCCGAAACCCTGAACCCCGAAGCCCTAAACCCTGAACCCTAGACCCTAAAAGCCCTCAACCCCTAAACTCCAAACCCTCTAAACCCTAAAGCCCTAAACCCTAAACCCTCTAAATCCCTACACCCTCTAAGCCCTAAAACCCTAATTCAACTCTAAACCCTAAAACCCTAAACCCCCTAAACCCTACACCCTCTAAACCCTAAAACCCTAATTCAACTCTAGACCCTAAAACCCCTAAACCCCCTAAACCCTACACCCTCTAAACCATAAAATCCCTAAACCCCTAAACCCTACACCCTCTAAATCCTAAAACCCTAATTCAACTCGAAGCCCCGCCAGGACATCGACGGAGCTCCGCTCCGTCTCGTCCCAGAAGGCTTCCTCAGGCAAGGCCGCGGTCGGGGGTTCAAGGGCTCGGGCTTTAGGGTTCGAAAGTTTGGGGTTTAGGGTTTAGGGTTCAAGGGCTCGGGCTTTAGGGTTCGAAAGTTTGGGGTTTAGGGTTTAGGGTTTAAGGGCTCGGACTTTAGGGTTCGAAAGTGTAGGGTTTAGGGTTTAGGGGCTCGGGCTGGGGGTTTGGGGCCTAGGAGTCTTGGGTGTACGGTCCAGGATTTAGGGTTTAAGGGCTCGGGGCTTGGGGTCTAGGGTTCGTGGTTTGGGATTCAGGGTTTAAGGGCTCGGAGTGTAGGGTCTACCCTCTCTAAAAGTAGCTAGAATAATGGCCTAACAGCTATAAAAGGCAATTTGTCCACATGCTTTGGGTGTCCAGGTAGGATTGGGGGCTTAGGATTCGAGTCCTGGCGGGTTTCACGATTTCGGGTTGGGGGTTTGAGGCGGCTCGTTGACCATATCTTGCATTACCGAGGTGAATCGTCGCTTGGGTGAGGACGTGTGCCCATTTTGGATGAACTTGGAATTGTAGCTTCCAGGAATCAAGTTGCAAGACATCGCAAAAGAAACGAAGTTGCCAATGATTTGAACTTCCCATTGCTTTCTCGGGGCGGTTGGTCTGTCCCAGAGCCTCATAGCACGATATGTCACTGTTTTGTTTGCTTTTGGAGGTTTGTAGGGTTTGGGGGGGGGGGTTCTTTGCAATCAGGGTTTCGATACCATCTTCAACCTTGCTTCAGTACATCGCAGGCCCAACATTTTCCTCGCGTCGGAGCTATCTCGCACGGTGGTGGACTTCTGCAACGCCAGTTCGGCAGCGCGGCAAGTTTTAGGGTTTGGGGTTTAGGCAAGATCGGGCATGAGGTATGTGAGATCAGAGCTGTCTCGACTTCAAACCCCACTTTACCCTTAACCCAAAACGGTAATCCTGAACTTGGCAACCTAAGCCCTTCAGCCCCGTAGCCTTACATGACTAAACCCGAAACACTAAACCCTAAACCCTATAAACCCGAAACCCTATAAACCCAAAACCCTAAACCCTATACACCCTAAACCCTATAAACCCTAAACCTCCTAGTGCCGGCACCCAGGTGTGAGTCTGGGGGTTGCGGGTTTACACGGACCCGAAAGGGCACACCTGTTTAGGACTTTAGGATATATAGAGCTTTAGGGTTTAGGACTGTAGGGTTTAGGAGTTTAGGGTTTAGGACTTTAGGGTTTAGGGGTTTAGGGCTTTAAGGGTTTAGGGTTTAGGACTACTACTCATGATGAGTTCGTTGCATAGTTCCTGCAAAACGGTGGTTTATTGGTTGTTTCTTAGGGGTGTGTGCGTGTGTGTTTGTTTGTGTTAGGGTTTAGGGCTTCAGGGGCCCCCATGCATAAAGTTCTTTAGGGCCGTAACCCCAGACCCTAGGGTTTCGGGTTTAGGGCTTAGGATACCCTAAACCCTCAAACCCTAAAGCCTAAACCCTGAAACCCTAAACCCTGAAACCCTAAACCCTGAACCCTAAACCCTAAATATGGAACCGGAACCCCTGAACCCTAAACCCCCCCCCCAAAAAAAAGCCTAAAGCCCTAAACCGTTTCAGGGCCTTGCTGAACAGTTTCAGCTCTGCCGACATAGGGTCCTCAGAAGTTTGGTCCGAGAGCGCGGCGCCAGGGCTTTCGGGTTTGGGCTTTAGGATTTGGGTGTGGGGGTTTAGGGTTTGTTGTGTTTTGGGGTTTGGGGTTTCGGGGTTTAGGGTTTGGAGTTTGGGGTTTAAAGGGTTTGGCATTAATCTGTTTAGGGCCGTTTAGGGTTGAGTGTCCGAGCTCTAAAGCCCGGAACCATAGACCCAGATATAGAGCTCCGCATGTCTCGTCTCGAGACCCATTTGCAGCCCCTTTTCCAAATTTTCTGGCAATAGATGCCAAGGCCCCAAGTCAATCATGAAGGCCTCTATAGTACGGAAGCCGATATCTCCACAATCCCAAACCTAAAGCCTTAGGACAGCATCGTCTGGGATGCCTTCTGCGGCCAAGGCAAGCCCCTATCTTCGACTCAGAGGGGTAGTGTGGTGTATTCAACTAGGTCTCGCATTAGGTGCGGTCACGAAACATGCCGGGGGGGGTGGGGGGGGGGGGGCTGAAGACCTTGCTTCGGTCACACTTGTAGGGTTGGCTCGATATCGGGCCAATTGATCAGGACGCAGAAGTATATAAAGGTACTATGAGGGACTTTGACCGCTAAGTATTCCGACCCCAGGGCGTAAATATGGGTTCTTCATGTGGCTATAATATAACTTACACAGATTATGTTTACACCCGACCCGGTTCTAAAAATTCAGGCCCCTACCTGCCTTTGCACATTGTCCTGCCTGACCTACAGAAGTGGCCGAGCATTCCCAAGCATGGAGGGAGCCGGTACAAGCCACAAGACGAATGGGAGCTGGGCACGTCGAGAGGACTTTGGGCAGCATTGGGCGTTCGTTACTGGCTTGGTTTGCTTCCACGCCAGAGCAGGTCAGATACCGGTGCACGGCTGCACGACAGAACGTCTCATGGCTCGCGGCACTACCACGACGTTTCTTCGATTACGTGAGGGCACTGGTGGGTGAACCGAAACTCATCCATACTTTCTCGTCGCAGCATGGACAGCTTTCCAGCAGCTTCTGCCGTGTGTCATGGATGAAACACCGTCACCAAGCCTCGGCATGTTAGGTGACATCACAGAGGCGTAGGTCGCCAACTATTGACTGACAGAGCCTGGAGATGTGGATCCATGCGCACTGGTGATGCATGCCGAGAAAATCTGCTGTTGCAGCAAAGCTGAGGCTTTCCGTCAACACCCGTGCCATCAGGCCGAGTCGATGTTGGAAGTGCATGCCCCAATCACTGCACGTACGGCTGATGGACAAAATCCTGCATGACCTTATATACCTAGACTATGGGATTTACTGTAATATACTATACCATATTTGGGTCATGCAGAATTTTGTGCATCAACAGTATGACCTCAGCCCCAGCGCGAAAGCTTCCGACTAGAGTTGAGGGCTGCGCGACCGTGAAGTTTAGGATTCAGGCTTTCAGCCCACAGGGTTTTTTGTGACACCCCCCCCCCCCCAGATCCTTTGAAGCGTCAAATCGAGGGCCCCAACGCCTTAATGTAGGGGCCTTAACCAGTAGAATAGGGTTTTGGGGGGGTTCCTTATCATAAATATAATAGAATAGACCACAAACCCTATTCTAATTATTAAGGCCCCTTTATGAGCCCCAAAGCCGCGCAAGCTTGACACGCCAAGCCCTTGAGTTCGAACTGGTTTCTTGTGATAACCATATTGATTTATAGGAGCCTAAATAAGTAGAATCGGGTTTGAGGTGCCTATATAGTAGACTTAGGATAAGGAACCCTAAGGAATAATATTGGTTATTTAGGCTTCTATAATAGGGCCGAGGGTTCGTGATTTGGGATGTGCTGCCTTCAACAGTATTGGGTGTAAGCCAGTGTCTGTGTCTGTGTCTGTGTCTCTGTCTGTGTGTGTNNAATATTGGTTATTTAGGCTTCTATATTGCTCACTGTACAGCTACCAAAATGTCGATTCAGCTAAATGCCCTTCATCCAGATCAAACCTTAAAGCCAAAACCCTCCCTCTTCCACAGTTTGCAATAATATAAGCCCCTACATTCAGCCCCGCAACCCTCAACCCATGGCACTTGCAGTGCCGTTATAGTACCCTTAACTTATAGATACTTATAGTCATCCTTCAAGGAACCCTCAAAACAAGCAACCCCCCTCCAAGCCCTAAACCCTAAACCGTCGGCTTTCATTCCGGAGGCCTCTTGACCTTGCCCCTGGCAGCCACTGGGAGCCGTCTGGTAGCTTTGGATCGCTCGCAGCCAGCACCTGGGCGTGATGAAGAGGGCTTTAGGGTTTAGAGGTTTAGGGGTCTAGGGTTTAGGGTTTAGGGTTAGGAGGGTTTGGGGTGCAGGACTGGGGTTTAGGGTTCCGCGTTTAGGGTCGGTTTCGGATGGGGTGTCTTCATGATGGTTTCGGCCTTGGGGTATCAACCTTTTAGGGCTTAGGGCTCAGGGCTGCTTCATTGGCTCTTTCTAGGACATTTTCAGGTGTGTAGTTACCGCTATAGGAGCCTTATAGAAGGTCTATATACCTTATGGAAGCCTTGTAGAAGTCCTATATACCCAAAACTCCCCACCTGTAGTTTCCTCTAACTCTTTCTGTGTTTGTGTTCTTGCTTGGGCGAAGTCAGGCTTGCGGTGTGGGGCTTAAGGTTGTTGATGGTGTGTAGGGTTCTCCTTTTACCGCCACCATGTCTCTGGGCTGGTTGAAGGGGTGTTCACAGGAAAGAGGTATAATGTGATATCATATGTTTAGAATACACCGTTCCTTGTAGTCATTACAAAAACCTCTAAGTTCGTAATCCGTATACATCGTGATTATGGCTTCGATGCAGTAGCGGGCTGTGTGTTTGGAGCTTCGGGCATTTTGATCGAAACTCCACGTGTTTGACAGGCCGACAGCACCGCCATCACGTTAGTCATTGAGAACCATTACAACCACCATCGCCAGGAAACCACCACCAACATCGTTATGACAGCAGCAACAACAACAGAAGCAGCGGCCACAGCCACAGCAAATTGTAATAGCAACCACCACCACCACCACCAACAACAACAACAAGGTCACGCCACCGTAACGGATCCCAGGTTTTTTTTGGGGTTTGGACCTCGCAAACGCCGCTCCCACCGACAAAGTTGGACTTGGCGGGGGTGGGTGGGGGGGGGGAGGGGGTAATAGGGCCTTTTTTCGAAAAGGCAATTTTGTTTTTTCTCGTGTATGTATGCAAAATGGGTTTTTGCGTGGGTTTTGGACACGTGGGCGTG